CTGCTGATGCTCCAGTCTTGTTCATACTCCTTGCACAGATCATTGCTGAGAAAAAAGTAGCTCTTTTCCCCCCAGTCTAATGGAGCCATTTGTACTTGAATTATGAAACATTATTAGGTGAGCTGCATCATTCTACAACTACTGTTGCATAGCTATAAATGATGTATAAATGTACAGAAATATGGAGAAACAGGATCCTAGAATCATTCTGTTGCTAAACCTAAATGAAAAATGTGTTAGGTGTCTTAGACGCGAGGTCGACCAGGGATAAAATGATAGCTTGGGTTTTACTTGCAAGTTTTTGTTTTTTGGTCAACCCTAAGTCTAAGGAATTTTTTCTTTCATCACATTAATCTTTACTTCAAATGACCAAAACCCCTCTTTGCTTTGTAAATAAACAGAATTCTACCTTTGAAAACAAGAGCAGTGATGACAAAACTGTAGGCTTTAAATATGAGACCGGTTCACTACAGAGCAAAGTAACAATAGTAGTTTTTGTCCATTTGAAGCAAACATTGATGTTACTGTGCATGTGCTCATCGCCCCAAATCTGGGCAAAAATAAGTCTTTCTGTTGCAGATCACAGCTGCCGACTGCTCCTAGGGTTGTTACTTCTGAAGCATTCAGATTTGTAATGGTGTCTTGATTACCTTGTTCTGCTGTTGCTTGTGCCAAGGCCTGAGTATATCACCAAGTAAAAGGCAATGAGACCAAAAAAACCCCCCAAAATTCAGGGGGAAAAACCCCAAAGCTTGCACTGTTGATTAATCTCATCAGTGATGTGGGTCAGACGTGCATATCAAGCTGCTTAAACAACTTATATTTGAAACACCACCTTAAAGTCAATGTGAATAAAAGGGAGAAAATTTTACGCCCTGGATAGCCTGAATTTGCTTTTGGATCTGTAGATAAATTAATTGGTTTTATATAGATAACATTTATCTAGAATGTTTTTTCCTCACTAACTGGTGGGAGTGGCTGTACAATGAGAAACCAGATCCTGGGACTGGGCTGACTGCTCCAGCTGCTGGGGTACTGGAGTGTGCAATCTTGTGGTGCTTTTTACCAGAAATTTCACCCTGGCTCCAAGAAATGTTCACAGTTAGGGTTTAGGCACACAGATGCTTTCTTTGTGAAAGGTCTGTTTTAATGAATATATGCACTCTTTTAAGTTCCATATACCCAGAAAGAAACATCACTGATGTTCAGACAGCTCATCAACAGGAAATGTGGTCAAGGAACTGTTTTTATTTATTTTCATGTTACTCATACTGCAGGAAATGAGTGTGTCGTTATTTGCACCTTGCTGTTAGGTGATGTCATGACCCCTTTCACTGCTGTGGTGGTTAGGTTTTTTATTTGTGGAATTTAAATGCAAAATTCTTACTAATCTTTAATCAGGCTCATGTTGACCACAAGCCAAAGTTTGGTGAGTGATGTTTTTTATAATGTGCAAGTTATACAGTGTAGTGGCAGGTAGGGAAAAGAACACTAAATTCTGTTATGGATCAAGATTGGAGAACTCAGAATGGGGGGGTCCCAGGAGTGGGGGAAGTCCTGGCTGAGGAGTAAAGAGGCTTTATATTTGGATACATCTAACCCTGCTCTTTAATTTTCTAACCAGTCCCTCTGTGTTAAAATTGTTTGTACAACAGAAACAATAGTTCCCTAGGTGCATCCTGCCCTTCAGCTCTGTGGGGTAAGGAATAGAGAGGGAGGTTCCTTGGGGCTTTGATCACTTGTGATTGAGGACAAACCACCCCTGCACTGTATTGAACCAGCCCTAAGGGTGTGTCTTTTCAACAAGACAAGCTCTGAGGGAGGGATGCAAAATCCTTGCATCATCTTACCTGCTTTTCAGTGAGTCAGAGCACTCAAGCTACAGGCCAGATTTACAAGACAGTCAACTGAAAGGCTAGTGCCCGTCTGCACAGCCACATGTACATGGCTAAAATAAACCCCAGTCTCCTGACAGTGGCAACAAGTGTAATTTATTGTGGCCAAGACAGCCAGGGAAAAGCCTTTTGCTTTTTTTGGGAATTACGTTCTACACTGCAATGCTGATGTCTGTGCCAGAAATGTTGCTGTTGTTTGATTGGCTTTCTCTTGAGGTTTTTTTTTAGGTTTTTTTTTTTTTTTCCCCCCCCCCAAAAAAAAGTTTATGCTTCACAGGTGAAGCAGTGGTCTGTGTCCACTGGAGCTATTTATAGCTGCAGTTGGTCATCTAGCTTACAGAATCAACAGTCTCTGGTAGACACTCATGTGCCACAGGGGAAGCAGGTGGTAGCAGTTGTATGTATGAACCACTTGGCTTTGTCCTTGGAGGAAGCAGATTAAGACCAACCCTAAGAGGGCTGGGGACAGGCTTTATCCGGTTCCTAAGGCTTCTTACAGTTCCTCACCTACAGCAAGACAATACAACTTCCCGGCATTTCCTCAGAACCTGTTGAGCTCATTCTGCAGTAACGTGAATACCAGACTATAGCTGCACTCCGATTACACAGATTTGGGCTGATTTTGTGCAATGCATGTGCTAACTTCAATTTAAACTTTAATCATAAAATAGATCACCTTTTCTCTATTTGCTGTACAAATGCCTGATGAGTCTTCTACTAGATAGTCCCAGTCATCTGTCAGTGCCCAGCTCGATCTTTTTTCAAAACCAAAGCTTGATGCAGAATGCTATGCCCAGGTTGTCATTAATGCAAGAAATTGAACTGTGTATTTTAGTGTTGTGCAGTTTGAAAACTGTTGCAGTCTTCACTTTCCAGAAATATCAGCTGAATCATGGACACCTAGGATTAAACAGCTGAAGAGCTGCATATAAAACAAACAAACAAAAGAGCTGCGTATTAAACTGCTCAAGAGCTGCCGTATGCAGGAGCTAGAGATAAATGTCCTTTTCAGGCCAGAAAGTTGACAGGAGGTTAGGCAAAGACTGAAAGCAGCAAATACTGCAAAATGGCTCTTATACCTTTGGGTACAAGGAATAAGACAGTTTTGTTTGTGGCTGAAGGCTGAAGAAGGAATGATCAGCTACCAGAACCATAAGAAACAAATTCTTATGTTCAGAAAAGCTGCCTGTCCACACTCACTCCATGTTTCACCCTAGGCAATGCAAGGAAAAGGTATGTTCCTTGTGTTCCACAGTTACTGGAAAAGGAAAAAAGTTTGTTATAAGAACTTAGTGCCTCAGTGAGATTTAACATCAAACAATGCCCTCTTCCAGGGTGGACAAACGGTGCCATTTCTGCTCTGCAGGTGTGTAGTACACCATGTTTTGATGTGGGTAAGTTGAAGTCTTGCAGACGACAAAATCTTGGATCTTTATAGCAGGACCACAACTGGACTAGCAATGAATTTATTTATTATAAATAAAACCCAATAAATATTTCATAACTTACTATTACAGCTTTCTAAAAATATACATCTAATTTTAATATTCTCAAAAGTTACTTCTGAGTTATACAATTATAGACAAAATATACTTTTTTTTTAACTGACACTTTACCTTTTAAAGTCTACATTACTACAGAGATTAGTTAATGCCCAATTAACAGTATCCTGCTAGAGAGATTTTAGCAGTATTTAAACAGAAATAAACTGAAAATAAACCAAATAATTTACTACTATTTAACAAATGGCAGTTCTCCACAGAACTAGCTCTATTTAATAGCTAAGTTTTGGCTACTGTTATGAATAGTCATGTGAGAGCTGAAGGGTCTCTGCAAAGCTTTCCTCAAGATCACCAAGTTCCTTGTTGGCTTCCAAATCACTGTCACAAATAATCAAGTTTAAAGTGGCCTCAGATGAGGGTGAAATGGCTGGGTCTTCTTCAGACTTCACACAAGAATCCAACTCTGTCCCAGCATACATCGTTTCAGCAACATCTTCTAAAAAGTCATCCTTGCTCGGTGTCTCTTTTGAACTTTCCCTGCATGCTGGCGATTCACATTTATTTGGTTCCTTTAATGATAAGTCCATGGTCCCAAGGAATTCTTCACTTTTTGTAGCTTTTCTTTGCCTCTGACTTTTACTGGTCAACTTGAGCTCTTCCATTGTATCCAACTCCTGCAGATCCATCGAGTCCAAGGCTTCCCAGCCCACATGGGTTCGCTCTGCAGCGCTGCCTGGGCTGCAGCCCAGGTCTGTCTTCAGTACATCCAACAAGTGGCGCATTTTGTTCTAGGGGGTGAAGGAAGAAAGGGGTGACACTTCTCCAGCCCCACAGCACCTATCTGCCCAGAACTCAGGGCTTAATTCTGCCATAAGGAAAGGGAGGCTGCTTGCAATCAAGTGACTAAATTATATAAGCAAGTGTCACCAAACTGAGTTGACTATTGTACCTTTTTGTGACTGTGCCTGTGACTCCTGATCTACCATGATCCATTAGTCTGCAAATCTCACTTAGAGAGAGATGCTCCCCACTGCACATTCTGCTTATCTTGACCCACAAACATATCAGTGCACTTCCACTGTACTTTGGAAGTGTCACTGAAGTCATATGCAGAGAGGGAGAACAAGACAGGGGCAGAACCTACCTCATCCAAACGGTTCTTATTTACTTGTATATGACACTCAAACAGTTGTTCCAGAACCCTACAAATAAACAATTAAATTATTTCTCAGGAAGAAAACATACTTTAAACAGCTCTATATAAATTAATGACCTTAGTTTTTTATTGTAATTTCTTAGCTGAATGGGACCACTAAGATTGTTTCAATTATGCTCTGTCACTACCCAGAGTCCTCTGGTATCCCACTGGACACATGCTCAGCAGGCAGACTCAGCTTTGGGCAGCAGATGGTAACCATGGGGTGACCAGTAGCACAACTCTGGGTGTGTTTGGTTTCTTGGGTCTATGCAGTGGGGGAAACAACAATCCAGTGGTAGTTCTACTGGCATGCTAAAGTATCCAAAAGCTCTTAGGTGCACCATTAGTGGCTGATACACACAAGTATAAATAAAAGGAAGGAAAAAAAAAATCCAGCTTCAAGAAAAAGTCCAGGGAAAAGTCCTCAGTCCTGAGAGCTCTCTTCCATGGCTTAAGCAGGATGAGAAAAGAGGAAGCGCTCTGTGACAACTAAAGTACACAGTCACTGGAACAGATTTCCAGAAGGTCAAGTGAATTTAATCCAGTTTAAATGAGAAATTATTAAAAAGAAAAAAAAAAAATAGTGCCAGAAGGGGTTTAAGGGCAGACAACATTACTGTAAAAAAGAAGCAGGAGACTGTTCTTAAACTTTGTCAAAGATTAATTTTTGTATTTAGTGTATTTAACATTCTCATTGATAGCCTTGACATGAGAAAGAAACCATGAGTGTGCACAGAAGAGAAAAACTGGGAACATTATCAGCCCAGAGGAAGATCAGAATATTATGCTGAAATTACACTGCCTTGAAAATGGAGTTACAAAAATGGGTTAAAATTCCGTATCAGAAGTACTGCGGGGTTTTTTAACTATAAACAGAGAGTTCATTATCGGAGAGAGCTGGCATGGAAAAGAATTTGGGAGTACTACTCAAATACATGAACTGTATCATAACTTATTGTTTAATTAATGAAAAAAATCTGATTTATCAACTGGTGAACTCTATCTGAAACAGTATGTAATCCCAACAACCCATGTGCTGATGACTGAATTCCTATTGGAACAGGAAAAAAAACAGAAGGGAGAGGGAGGATCAGTTGTGTGAAACATTAGTAACTTGATTTATTTAGTGAAACAGATGTTTCAGAGTAAAATGATTCTTAGTATTACTCCACCTAGGGTTCCAGGTCAGTTTCTAAGAGAGGTACCTAGCAGCAGATCAAAGTAGATGACACCAAGGTCTTTCCTAGTTCCCCTTTCTTACATGAAGAAAAGGAAAGAAAACAAATGCAAGGGATAACTGTGTATCTATATATTCTTAAAGGCAAAGGGATGATTTCTAAACACTACTTTCCTTTCTTACAGAGTCCGTGTGTTTCTGACACAGCATTACAAATTTGAAAACAACTGTAACCTACCTGTTAGAAAACAGCCCAAGGCTAAGAATTTCATTTGTTACATCTTCAATGAAAGCTAAATATAAAAACTCTTCTTCCCTGCAGGGAGAACAGAAAACCCAACGTTAAATTTCTTACAATAGAGACACATATTACACAATGCAGTAGGTCCAATCACCTGTATGGGAAATGCCATTAAGAAGATTGTATAGTTCTCAGCACCAGCTGCTATTTTTAAAAAAATGTGATTCTATCAGGACAAACTAAGCCTTTCATTCAATTTGAATAATAATAAAAAACCCTGTGTAAAATTAGAAAGGTCACTATGGTGCTTTGTGTTTACACTAACTTTCTGTTGTGGAATAAATTAGCACAGAGATCCTGAGGGAGGAAATCAGCAAATCTTGGAAAGCTTCCAGAAACTGCTTTGCACTCAAGAAGAAAGAGGTGCCAACTGGGGAGAAAGCTCAGAACTGCAGTTTGATGCTCTGAGTACAGGCTTCCAAAGGAGCTTCTAGAGAAGCTGAGTGCAGCTGAAAATTGATAGTCCTCAATGGAAGCTCAGAAAAATTTGACAGCCTCCATTCCTTTCAAACAAAAACTCTTTGATGTACAAAACCCTTGTTCGTGTGAGATGTGGCTTTCACATCTTTGATCAATTTTCTCTCTACGCTAATACCTCTTGAAGCCTTATTGATGCCAATTGCTCCAAATAGGAGACTCTCCAAAAGTTTGAGTTCTGTTTGGAAAACAACAAGAAAGAAAACTCCAAAAGGAAATAGTTCAGTGCTGTTTCTCTTTCATAGCATCTTTCTAAATATCCCAAAGTATCCAATCAAGCTCTAGCAAATCATCTTTCAGTCTTAATAGACAGAAAATAAAAAATGGGATAAATCTTGTGTGACTTTTATTATATAAAATTTGTCATCCAGCCTGAAGATGGTCATTTTGGTTCCCTCTATAATCAAGAAAGATAACTATAGCTGATCTTTGATACCTATATTATATCCTTAAAGTTAGGCAAGAACAAGCCTGTCCTAAAGCACAAAGAATTAAATTACTTTCCCAAGTTTGCACGATAAGGCACTGGCAGTGTTTCTGAATATAACTCAAACCTCACCTTAATTTTCATCAAATTTTAGAGCAGAAATGGGGTAAGAATGCTCTTCAACTCGATATTTTATTTTGCCAACATTTGCTTCAGACATTTCAGAACAAAGAAGAACTAGAAACATTTAAAGTATAGTCACTGGACAAGAAGATAATTTTCTTAATTTTTAGATTTACATGGAAATTTTTAAGTATTATATGATGATGCAGTCATGTCAGTTCTATTGTAAATTCTGAACAACAGGTTATTCATTTGCTGTTTCAAGTTTGTCAGTTTTGAGGAAGTTTCTAGTTTAATGTTGCAAACTAGCAGAAAAAAGGTTTAAGCATACTTACTCAGCCTCTATAGTCCTCCTTGCTGAAAACTGCTGAGAATACAATGATGTCTCTCTAATCAGAAAAATCACAAGGTTAGAAAGAGAGCAACAGTCTAAAAACCCTTCACACTACCTTGCATCTCACTTTCTTCCAGAGCCATGCTGTGCCTCAAAAGAGCTCAGTGTTACTTCAGATGTTGTACAGACCTCCACTATCCACGAGAGTGCCTTTTTACTCAGATTATAATTTTCTCCTCAAATAAAAAGGCCAGAGAGTCAACCAGCGAGTCATGCATGATACTCAGGTCAGGAATGAGGGAGAATCAGCCAGGAGCCCTTGGGTTCTGGCCTGATTTCCAACACTGTTCTTGTATTGTAGACAATATTCTAAATCTCAGTGCTACATTTTCAGAAAAAGATGTGGGAAATGCCTCTGGTCTGCAGTTCTTGCAGATCACGGATTCAAATCCTAGATGTCTGGAGACCCTTTTTCCTGAAAGGAAATACCAATTGGAATTCCAATCCAGTATTTAGTTGCACTAATATATAAGAAATACCTAGTCTGCAAGCTCAGATGCGTGCTCAGATGTACAGAACTAACAGCTGTATGAACATGTCATCGCTCGCACTCCTAACAAAATACTCGTGTATTTCAGAGCTTTCTTTCTTAATTGGCTTCCCAGTGGAACTTTACCATAAGAAAATAATGACTTTTGTAGCTGGGAAAGGCCATTGATCTAAAAAACCCAACCAAACAGAAGTGCTGTGAGAAGAGACGTATAAAGAGAAATAGTAGTGAAGGCTTATGGCCTAAGAAGCAGCTGTACAGAAAGTAAGAAGGAATGCTTCAAATATTCCTTCCTGCTGTAAATCAGGCACCTTAGGGAGGAGTATGGGAAAGCAGCTATTTCTCTCTCAGGCTCATCCACAGTACATCTTCTCTCTTCAGCCTACAACACAGAGATAAAAGCTTTATTAACAGTGCAAATACACAGTAAATTTTACCATGAAAGTGAAGCTAATAACTATCTGTGAGTAAGCAGTCCTACAAATTTTATGTCTTTTCTGAGACACTTTGGGTAAACTGAGACAAATGGCAGCAAAGGGTCATCAGCTTTGACACCCAAAATTTTCGTCAGGCGCAACAGGAGATGTGGAACATTTCTCCTCTGACAAGTATGTCAAAGGTGAATTCTCTAAAAGCTAGAGAGGCTCGATGTCACCAACAAGAGTAAAAGTTGGTGTGCAAAAACAGGAACAAGCACTCTAAATCACATCTCTTGAGCTGCTTGCACAAAACTGATGGAAAGTAAAGTTGTTGACTACATGCATTTTAAATTATAATAATCTGAAAGAGCCACTGTATATAGCTACATGCTACCTGACTTACTGTTGTCATTTTTACAACAGCCAAAGGAAAAGTCAGATATGACAATTTTGAAATGAAATCCAAAGTTCTTCGTGGAACTGGAGTGAAGTCTTCCGAGTAATCATTTAACACTTTCTTAATGAGGTCAGATGCAGATCAATTCAGGTGGTCTCTCTTCTATTTTCAGTAAAGCTATAAATACATATTCTCTCTCACCCCTCTCCTCCAATGAATGAAGCATAACTGTTTGCCTCATTAAGCTAGAGACATGAAGAGTCTGACCCTGCAGCCTTTATTCAGGAATAAAGTCCACAGTTACTCAAGGACTTCTCTTAGGTTTGACAGGGCTTTTTAAGGACTTGTCTGAATAGTGGCTACAAGATAAAGCACAAAGAAAGGACCTAACTCCTAATCAAACTCTTCCATCCAAATATTAGTACAAATAAAGACAAAATGACATCAGATTTGAAGTCTTAAGAAATATTTCAGGTCTTCCTGCTTCCCTCTGCTTCCCAAAGATACTGGTATTCAATGTCATCTTTAAAATCTAATAAACTTAAACCACCACACACTAAGGCAATTTCTGAAAGACCAAATAACTGAAAAACTAAGTTCAACTGTCACAAACACTAAGCAATTCAAATCAAAATGATGGATGCAAACATTTCTGTGACTATGACCAAAAAAATACTAGGAGGTGGCAGAATTTGAAGTGGTGTGATTTCTTATGAAAGCATTCCGGATACATTCAGCAAGACAGCAGGCAAACAGTATCAAGGAAAACCTCACCCGCTACTTTGGGTGCTTCCTCAGAGGAAGGGACTCCTTAGTTCCAATTCTTCTATTGAGGGCTTTTGGAGTATGTTATCCAATGTAAAAATGAAGAAAATAAATCTTTGAAAAAGAGGTACCTTCTTCTGCTGAAAAATAACGTACCAATTCTATAGTACCAATATCTATGTCCTTAACAGATACTTAAGTGATGGTGCACTTGTAAAAACTGTAGGAAAAAAAAATATTGAATTTTTGTAATATCCTAAGATCTCTTCACATGTCTCAATATTTTTTCTCGTTTCCTCTTGCTCTTCTGAAAATCTACCTCCTCTACAGAATGAATTCACCTCATGACAATAAAGAAAATTAAACTTAAATCAGTTGTACACTGCTGTGGCAGAGATGAAGTATATACTCCAAAATGATAGTGAGGAGTGTGGTAAGAGTACCCACATGACTGACAGATGTATTACCTTCAATGTGATCTTCTGCTGTTCAGTTGTAACTTGTCTCTCAGATGCTTTGTCTGCAGATGGAAAGCTACAAAATTTAGAAATATATTAGATTTCTAAGAAGGCTACTTTCAAAATATGCAAGATGAGAATACCAGTGTCACTGTGGAAATTTCCCATCAATCTGAATGGGACCGAGTCCTAAAATGTCTCGGACAATTTAGAAAATTTCTGACAGACTCCCATTCGCATAATAAAACTAAGTTATAGTTCATTTTGCAGGATGACAACAGTCATACACAGGTGATCCAAATCCATTAGTTAGCTGCATATTTACAGAGGATAGCTAAATTATCCAAAATAATTGTTCAGAATTGAGAATGGAAATGATCCTACACATTAAAAGTGCACCAGGAAAATATATGACCCACAGCCAGAAAATCAATAGTTGCAATATGGAGCTGAAGCCATTGTAATTCCAGTCTTATGGAATTGCTGCTTTGTTCTAGGATAAAACCAGAGTTGGACATGCAGGCACTGGGGACACAAAAGAGATAAGATTTCTCTTTATGTGGTAGTATTGGTTAAAAACAAAACTAAACCAAAACTGTTTCATTTGCTGAGGAGTTCAATGCAAGAGAAGGACATTCATATTGTATAAAATATTTCAAAGAGAATATATCTGAAAGCATTTAAATTAAAATGAGAAAAAGACAATGAAGAGCTGCATTAAAGAGTTAAAAAAAAAGGAACTTTGCATGATGTATTAATTAACAAATTGGAAAGTATGAGAATACAGGAGGAACAATGGGGAACTTCTTATATGTTTACAGGGGTTAATTCTTTAGAAGACAGAAAGCACAACTCTACACTAGAGAGAGCAAAGAAAAGAGAGAGGGAACAGGAAAATTGCATTCTGTTCTAGTTTTTGCTAAGGCATAGCTAGAATGAGTTCAAAATAATTACTTCAGTTTTATACAAATGTAAATGAGAGTAAACCACGTTGCTTTTATGAAGACACTGTTATGATAACATCTAAATTCCACAGTTTCAAAATAAAGTTTTAATCTCTGTACCTGATCACATCAGTCTGTGTTTGAGCTTCCACATGGTGCTTGCAGTGATTTTTCCTTTTCCTTCGAGCAGGAGTGTAATACCTGTACTCTGACAGGAAAGATTTAGCATCTGATACCAACGTGCGTGGAGTAAAAGGTTTTTGGCTCTCAGTAAAGAATTCGGAGTGCCTGTCTAGAAGATCCCCACCGCGTACTTTGGAGTTGCTTCCTTGACACCTCCGGGAACGGTTAATGCTCGCAAAACTATCAGTGGAGCAACTGCATGAAAGTCCAGAGCTCTTTCTTGGTGTACTTGATGTACTGACACTTGAGTTTGAGTTGCATGTGTTAGACGTATTCCAACAATCTTTTCTGGCACATTTTACTCGGCTGGAGTGAACCAAGCCATGCTCGCCATAAGGAGACAGCACTCTTGATAGGTACTGTGCCTGCTGAGCACAGGGGAAGAGACTGTCTTTGTCTTCTGCTTCCAAGAAACCCTAGAAAAAAAAATAAAAAAAGATTTGATTGCTTTGCAAGTTATCAGCTTTGCTTAAGTCGGTGCTCCCTGCTATTGTTGTTACCAACCTGGAGGTACTTTCTATGTAAAAGCTTTCAATTTTTTTTAAATCAAACTGGTTGCAGACCAGCCCCACTGCTAACAGATTTTAAAATATCATCATTGGAAATAAAAGAGTAATAAGAAAATGGTTTGGTTCAGTAGCAAAACACTGGTGCTTTGTTACAGAATATTGATGACTGCATCAAACCAAGAGTTTTAATCATGTTAGTCCAAAGGCTCAATACATTTTTAAAAGTCAAGGAATCATTGCATTGAGGCAAATTACTTTACCTGGGTGTGCTCTGTTCATACCACCTGGGCAAGGTAAGGTAGACATTATCCATAATTATCCTACCAGCTTCAAGATGTATCACACACTGGCTATCTTTAGAAGATGTATATTCTGTAAGGGGCATAAGAGTTTTCTCACTTGTACTCTTCCAATTCTCTCCCCTGTCCCACTGGGGTGGAGTGAGCGAGCAGCTGTGTGGTGCTTAGTTGCCGGCTGGGGTTAAACCACAACAATATTAGCTTGTAAATATACACAGATTTTCTATTCTATCATTCAAATCCTAAAGTAGGTGTTCCTAAAAGTTCTAAGCAATATGACTCTTACTGTATAAATGCTGCATTTTCTCGTAACACTGCTACTGTTACTGCTTTGAATCTACACTATTCGATTTTTTCCCTTTTAGAACCACTTAATATTTTAAATTGAAACTCCTGATGAAGAATATACATTTTGTGGAATGTAGTAAATGCTATTTAGAGGAATATTAAAAAATGCAAATAGTTTTCCATCAAAATTAAGTCACAGATCACACTGCTCTCATACCGTATATTTCCTTCACAACAACTCCACATAACAATTTTCTCCCACATCAGTAAGACCTACCTATGCTATTCCAGTACCCCAAAATGTCCATAGTTGCTGATGCCTAATGCAAAGAGGTTTTTTTTTTTTAGTTAGCTGAGCCAAAATAAGCCCTTCTTGATGGTGTCTCATGTGAGCCAATTTTATTTTACTAGTACAGCATAATTAAATGCTGAACTGATAACATGCAGTAACAATGCCAAACAACTGCCTGTGTTAGCAAGCAGTATAATAAGGCTTACCAGTGTGATTGTTTGCATGTAAAGTACTTGCAGTGGTAGCTTAGCACTATAGAAAACAGATAAGACTGGAAAGTTTCAGAATCCACCTATATAAATGTTTTGAAAAGCTAATTCCATACCCTTCAGTATGTATTACAAACAGCTTAATTTTTCTTGTATACTTTTTACTCCGAGTGATTAAAACAGTGCATGGAGCTGCAATATCAATCAGATTGTAGAAGCATTTGTGAACATATGATGAATGGTGCCCTGCGATATACAAAATAATAATTAAAAAATATTAAATGATATTAGCCAATTACACAACTACATCTCATGAAAGCTACATGTTCTATTCTTTGGAAGCAGTTGCACCAATCCTAAAACAAGGCAAAAGTACAGGGTAAACAATGCAATATCCTAAACTTAAGCACTCCTTATGTATGAGGAAGCTTAGGGCAGTTCTTTTCTTCTCCTCCTCAAATGTATCAGAAGTGGAACAGAACAAGTAGCTAAGGTCATGACTAGACAGAACTGCAAACTCGAGCTGTATTTGTGTCAGTCTCGAGATGTCCTCATTCAATTACTGAGAAAGAAGAATGTCTTTTGAAGCCCTTATCCTGGGGTAAACCTTTACTGCCCAAACAGGTAGGCAGTTTAGCCTGCAGCTATACAAAGAAATTATAACAGGTGCAAGGAAGTATGTTGGTGACTTCAAAAAGATTTTAAGGAGTGTCAGAGAATGCTGTTTGTCTGCAATTTGTCACCAAGCTTTCAGAAAATTATTGGTACACCTGTGTTGGTATAGGCAAGTTAACTGTAAGTAAGTATGTTCCTTTTCTTTTCTAATCTGTATCTATTAAAACACCAGACGTTTAGAAAGGGGGGGAAAAAAAAAGATGACAAAAACATGCCTACAAATATGCAGTAACACATTGATTTAAAGATAATTAGCTCTATTCCTCAGATACAATTAAAAAATATACATATATATTCAATGGAAGTATCACAGCTTTGGACATTAGCCCTATCAAGAACTTAACTAATGTAATTTGGAGTCCAGAATCTTGACCCCTATCTTGCTTATCAATATATGTTCCTATTCTACTGATTCAACCAACTGTGATTTGTTTCAAAAGATACAAATTTACTCAATGATACGTTTCAGCAAAAATAACCCCCTTAAAATTTTTTTCATAAATTACATATTTATGCTTCAATTTTGTTAGTCACAAAACTGGGGTAAATGGTATATAACTTGCAGCAAGTCTGTATAGAGAGAACCCCTGAATCTTCAAGGACTCTGTGGAAGAGAAAATTCAGTAAGAACAGATCAAAGCATACCGCTGTCATCTGATGGGCAAGAGAAGTAGCACAGAGAAAGAATTCAGATTTCTCTCTAAGTTACTTCTAATTTCTAAAAGAAATTTAGTTTCTCAACTCAAAAGCCACTGACATATCAGCTGCCTTATAAAAACCAAGGTTTGCAAAAAAGGCTTGCTAAATCTATTTTCACATAAACAGTCCAAAGGCATCTCTCAGTGGAGTCACTGAAGTTACACCAAGATGCATTTAAGTCTTGAAATTAATTCTTGTATGAAAAGGTCTTGCAATACCACAGTTCATCTAGCATCATAAAATGAGATCAGAGAGACACTTTATGAACTGCACTGTCAAGATACAGAAGTTGCAATTTTGTAATAAACAAGCAACTGATTCTTGTAACTTGAGACAGCTCCGTTTATAAACCACTTTATCACCGCTGTAAGTGGGCTGAGCACCTGCTCTCCACTGCCTGGACAGAGCAAAGGTCTCCTGTAGTAAGCGACAAGCTTCCTTGGGGCTCATAATCCCCTTGTATGTCATCTGTTCATTTCATTACACACTTCAATAATTAGTTAAGAATTGAGAAAGGCAAGAGAGAAAATTCACACAAATATGTGAACAATTAAGACCTGTATGAATATAATCAGTTTGCATACTGGTACCAATAATAATAAAGATTTCTCTCATTCAAAACTATGTTCCTGTTACATTCTTTCCTTTTGTGTGTACGTGTGATATTCAATTGTATAATGTAGTATGTTCCTACTTTAATCAAATACCGTGATGTCATTAATAAGGGGTATTACTGAACGTGATATGGAAACATATTAACTCAAACAACCACCATGAGAGGTGATTGTCACTATGAAGCCTGAAGAGAAATTCCTGCACACTCCTGATGAAAACATCTTTCTTTGGTGCTCACAAGGTTCTTCTGCTTTCTTTAGTCATTTACATCTCTTGTTCTGACAGAACTAACTCAAGCACAATACCTCTTCAGATTGTCAATATCATAACAGTATAATAAATCTTTAAATATAAAGCATTTGAGTAGGCAGTTCACATAGCCATGCATGTGTGCTGCATAAAAAATTAACACAAGAGATTAGAAATAGTTAATGGTGTTTCCTAATCTATATTTCATATGTAAAGTAGATGTACATAACTGTCATTCTTAAGAAATCAAGATAAGTCTCAAAAAACAGGCTGAAAGGGATCTTGAAATGTCAAGGCAATGGCAACCACACTTCAAATGGTTTAATAAAATTTACCCTCCTATGGAGCAGCCTTCCTCCAACTGACTTTTGGCATGGATTAATTTCTTTAAAAAAATTCTTTATCAGTCCGAAATTCCTATTACTAGGATTATCTGAACATGGGATATGAAATACCAAGTCTTGCTCACATCAGAGATTTTGCTCATACCCAGCTCAATGCAGGTTTTCTTGCTTCAGAGGTAAGTTGTATTGAGCTTCACACAGTTTGAACCACTGAATCACTCAGATGAATGTTTGAAAACAAAAATCAGCTTTGTACAGAAAAAGTAAAATTAAATATCTAGAGATTTCACTAGGATATAGCTTTCCATCCATGGCAGCAGTTGGAAAGGCAACATGGTAGTGGAATTCTATGCATAGATGTCACGGTATTTTCCAGACTGTGTCAAACAGTCTTTTCTATTGTGAGAAAGCTTTAGAGTAATTCATTAAAGAAGGGATATTCAAGTAATTTGCTGACAGATAAATGATTTGATACTTACAAATGTGCTGCTTATTCATCCTCAAGCTTTTGAGTCTAAGTCTCTAAATGCTTACTTAAAAATTACATACTCACAAAGACACACAAACAGAAATTTAGCAGCCCTTTCAGCATCCATATCTGCAGTTTATCACCCTGTTGTCATTAACTTTCACACATGGTGTCACCCATCATTATTATGCTACAGGGAAAGTAGAGAAATACAGCGGTCCCCAGGACAGCTTATGCTTTCCCTGCCCCTCTACTGTCCTTGAAGTAGCTTAGTTGCTAGTGATCTCATCCAAAGCCTGCTCTGTTGTGCCATTTGAAAATGAGCCTGCTCCTTAGCTTCTCACTTAAAAGCAGAGAAATGCATGATGCACCATAAACACCTATCACACCTTAACCTATGGCTCTGTGATCAAAATTCTCTCTTTGATTAAAATCACTGATTATTTCAAAGAGTCAATAACGAAATCTAGGTAACAACAACAGAAATAACTTTCTCGGTTCATTTCATATCATAGCAGATTCTCATATTACAGTAACTTTACATTTATAACTCCATAAAACAGATAAAGAATTAACTGTTCTTGCTCATTTAAACCCTTATACAAAACAAAGAGCAGGTCAGTCAGGTTCAAGACACATTACAGCTATTCAGTTTCATAGTTGGCTCAAGTTATAATAAAATACACTGACTAAATCACAGAGTTAAGAAATGTATAACATGTACTGTATAATTTAGAGGAATTATTTATATTTATTTTTGGTTTTACCATGCACAAAGCACAGTCTCAATTGAAAACAGTTTCTGTGCTCTGTTGCAGCATTAAATAATAATAAATGCAGCTGTGTGAAAAATGAAAATGATGAAATACAGGCACCAGACTTACCTGAATGCATAAAAAGTGAATGCTAATGAATGAAGCCTTTTGAAAACAGAAGTCAGGTGCATACATCAAAGCTGGTTTGCATGTATTTAGCCTATAATCTAGTCAGACTTTGACCTTGTGAGTTACAAGGGTTATTATATTTTCATATACATATATATGTATGTATGTTATTCTTAAATTGGTATACATTTTACAAGAGCCACACTTTATTAGGCTAGAAATTATGCACTATGAAAGTAATTTCTTTAACTTTTGTATTCTTACACAGTGGCAAAGCCAGGAGAATTCTACTTGTCTCTTTTTCTTCTATTCCTCCTGTGATGTTGTAAGATGCTTATTAAGCACAGGACCACATTCTACTCTTGCCATTACCTCCTTGGAAACCTGGAGTATTCCAAGGTTAACTTCTTCAAATTTGTCTGACTCTCATCTCAACCCAAGAATATCCTAATTCAACAAAACAATTTTTGGAGTAGTTCCACAAATAGAAGATGTATAATCAGCTTTTTCCTAATGGCAACAGTGACAGCAATAATATGATTATTGTGTGGCAAAAATCCTTTACATTATCATAAGCTTTAATAGGCATCCTTAGAATTTGTTTTCCAACTGTCACCTATCCATATATCCTGATGGTTACAGAAATACAATTAGAATGGCTAACTCATCCTCACGATGCATTAGAGGACATCTGATCATTGAAGCAGAAGAATCCTCCCTTCGTATATAAACAGGCATGGGAAATCAATGTATATTTTGGTAAATTAAGTAAAGTTTAAATTCATTTTTAGCACAAAAATATGACAGACCAATTACTTCCACTGCCTGCCCTTCTACCAGAAGGCTCACTTACAGATTTTCACCTCTTACTGGTGCTCGTTTATACCACAGTGAAACAGATTTTGTAAGTCCAGCAATCAATTACTTGATTAACAAAGTGCCAAAAGGTATTTTAGTGAAGATTACTCTTTGCATTTGTAAAGTTAAAAAAAAAAAGCCTAGAGGCAAGAAAGTATTATATCCAAAAATTACCTTTTACATGTGGTTAAACATTAATTTGGCAAGTCTCCCAACATGACTTTCTAACATACACTTTTCAGTTGAAAACTTGAAATTCAGATTCAGACAGTTAGTTGAATTATACCCTGAGGCTAGCAAGCATAGGGAAAGCTGTAGTTTGTGTTGGCATGATACAGACTACACTTTCAAGACAAACATTGGTGGGAAGGCACCTGTAAGTAATTAGAAGAATTGGGACAGATATCATTTTAGAAATACCCTGTTCTGCAAAAGATTGAAACAAAGGAAAAAAGCAACAGTCTCTTATAATGCTATATTAAAGACCGTAAGTGCCTCCCTGCATTTTAAAACTGAGAATTTATGCAGTAATTAGAGATACATTTTAAGCACACTTTACTTGGTTACATGATGAAATAATTTAAGGAACTTCTCGTGCCCCCAGTTTGCAGAAAGTAAAATGGAAGGACAAAAATGGTATTAATTAAAAATAAAATCTGAGTTTTATTTACTTGGAAAAGTTCTCCAGCTCTACAGATATTTAAACAACACATGAAGCATTTGCTGTTAAAATCAACAGAGTTAAAACATCATTCTGTTTCAAGTTGCAGTTGCTCCTTTACAGTGATGAACCAGAGAATGTAATTTATTAGGCTATTTATTTATTTATTATTTGGAAATATACAACACATATCTGGATGAAATATCAGCCAAAATAAGTGAACCTATGTATATAGACAGAAAAGCACTTATTTTGATGGCTGAAGTACTATTTTTACTTTCAGTAACTTAATTTTGAGCATGTAGTAGTATACTGTTAGAGATTGAATGTATTTAATTGGATACAGAAAAAAATAGAAGATTCTTGATTCTTCTGCTAGGAAGGTTAGCAATAACCGGAGTCCTGCCTTAGGAAATGGTAGAAAGCTCTGGAGTGTCAGAGAGGATTTCAGCTGAGATGAAAGCAAGAGAATTCAAGGGTAACTAGAGGTTGAATTTCACAGAAGCACTCTTCATCTAGATACCTGCATCTTTGTCAGAAGGCAGAGATGTGCATTTGGTGTTGGGCACATGCCAGGAAGACCCTTGTCTATTTTCCACTGCTTGAAATATGCCAGCCCTCCCTGCAGAGCTGCTGCACAGCAGTGATCAGCTGTTATTATGGTAGGCAAGTAGACTACGATATCTATTAAACAAAATTATCTTACCCTTCCAAAAGAGGATTGCAGCAGCCTTCCACTCTCTCTTGAGCTGGATCGGGAGGCAGTTTTACCCACGCTCATTTCCTCTTCACACTTGGCTACCTTCTTTTTCAGTTTCTCTCTTCTTCGCTGGTCAGCAACTTAGGAAAGAGACAAAGTTTGTCAGATCCAAACTGAAATATTATTCTCTTTTTTTTTTCCTAAGTGATTTGAAAACATTATAGGGGTTTCCAATTGCTCAGCAAAGTCAGACTATTGAGATATGTTTCACTTCCAACACAGCAATTACAAAAAAATTACCTCTATTCTTAGAAGAAAAATATTAAGAGTATGCTGGTAGCTGAAGCTCTATCATAGCCAAAGCGGTACCTTAGCTTCCTTGAAGTATTTTCACCTCAGAACTAATACACCACTATGCAGGAATTCCAAGATCAGTACTGCTAACAAAGCACTCTGCTCAAAAACTCACAAGTTTGCTCTCAATTTTTTACAGATGGAACTCCTGTGACTGTACTCTCATCCAGTATTTCAGCAAAAACCCCACATTTACTGTTAATTTGATATGTAAAAAATCCATGCTCACACTATGGAAAAATAATGAGTAGTCTTCCAAGTACAGAAATCCATGGCAAAACAAGCATGTTCATGTCAAGAACACAAAAAAATGAAGGCAAACACTGTGAAAGGGCCACTGTCACATCAGGAGGGGGAACAGTGTATCAGTCTACATTCGTCTGCAGTCCAAGACCTTGCTCACAGTGTCCACGCAGCACAGAAGATGAGCTACGTATCTATGCCATTAAATAAAGAAAGGAGCCCAAAAGACAGGTAAATTTTCTGTGTTTGAATTTGCTATCAGTCACCTAACCTACATCTGATATCTTGCATAATACAGTCCAAAGTTTTTATATAGGTGAGCACCCAGGTGCCACAGATGACATTCACAAAGTTAAAAAACCCAAATGAGACTGATGAAAAACATTAATTTCATTTCCAAATGGGAAAGAAGAGAATTTACATAAGCAAGCACAATTTTGGTCTGTATACACAATGAAACCTGCTTTAATTCTTGACTGCACTTCTCATTCTCTTAACAAAGACCCAGGTGCATGAATGGTTTGTCTGATACAGACACACAGATGGAAAGGCTTTGGTGGATTTCTTCTTCAGTTTCATAACGTATTTATATCATACTCTGGTAGACCCCAGTCTTCACACACACTACTATACTTAACACATGGAAATGTAAATAACTTCATGGATTGGTGTGGTACATTCTTCTAGACAGCTGAGAACTACAGCAATCTGAGGACATTTAATCAACCTTTAAAATACATTCATCTGTGTACATTAACCCTACAGACATGTTAATGTCTAGGAATTATTTAAATATGTGTATTCATTTTATTAAACATTTTAGTCTCCTTTTAAACTCATGTGTACTGAAAGGCAGAGCAGATATATGCAAAACAGAATGGCAGAAAATCCCACTAGTGGACCCATCTTGTTGCCAAATTGGGGAATTATCAGGCTAGATCGGCTATAAAAGCTAAGAACTGTGAAACCAGCCAAGCAAGAGATAAAGAAATCCTTCTTGAAAACAGTTGATGTTGATGTTAACAGACAGCTAGATATAAGTCAGGATAGCCCCGAGGCAGCCAGCAAGTAACACAGACAAGGGTATGGGTCCAGACACAGAAACATGCATGTTGCCTACCTCCCCTTACTTCACATGTCCTTTCCACAAGCAGGGACTGGAGAACCCAGTCCTTCCATCTGACTTTAGCCAGACAGAAAATAGTATCATACAAATGCCTGAACCTTTGAGGCACTAATTACAATACTACAGCTGATGGGAGCTGAAGATACTTAAGGCTGCCATACGTAACCACTTGTTCTGCAGCTGTGAATAGATTAAACGCAGCAAGAATGAGACCAGCATTCAGGGAGAAACATGCAGCTTTAAAAGGGAGAATTATCTGTTAATTGGAAAGGTTGTTCACTGTTGAAGATATCTTCTGCTTCAAATCAATCATGGATATAGCTTCTTTAAAGAGTGGCCTTGGCATACTGTCATAGACTAGTGGGAAGTAAATATCAACTGCATTTGTTAACAGATACTTAATAATTTCACTGCAAGGAGCTTTTACCATACATTGGCTTCAGAAACATACCACATTTGTAGAGTTAAATATGGGAAAAGTTCAACACAATAGGTATCTTGTGACAATTAAAAGAAATAAAAAAGAAAACCACTGGGTTTCTTTAATTTCTTTGAAAAGGGAAAACTAAGAGTTCAGGAATAAAATAATACAGTCTATAGATCCAAATAACATGAGTCCCTTTTAAAGCCTTATTAGAGACTTTGAGATTAATTATATCTCATTAACTGCTGTGCTCAAAGCCACCAAAAAGATTCATAGTACAGTGAAGAGAAAATGTATTAGAATATAGAAAAGTAGTGAATTTTGTATATCAGACAGATTCAGAGTCTGTGAAAGTAAATTCCATAACTTATTGCACTCACTCCATGAATCTGTTCTCTTAATTCTGTTGTTAGTGAGAGGAAGCACAAGAAAGACCATTAATTTTAGAAGTTAACCTGAAGCATTGTCAATAAAGAGCTACCTATAAACCACTGATCAATCTGTCACAGAAGTAACACTTTTGCCTGGGTAAATATCGTTTTTGTGCAGAGTACACCATGCTTCCAAAGCAGAAATCACATTGTAATATTTCCCTGTTAGAATACTCCCTCTATAGGCTTGCTTCTTTTTTCCTTAAACCTAGGCTGCAGCAGTATTTCTAGACACATGCTTAGAGTTACAAAACAAACGTCATAAACCTGGAAGAAACGAAATTATCATACATACCACACTCCTAAGCAGCTTGAAAGCCCTGCACGTATAAGGACAGTACGATTTGGAATGCCAGTGGTTGTCCTTTGCTCTGAATTTCCAATCTCTAAATTTATCATATGTCACAGCACAGGACAATTGGCAGTTAACCTTCACGTTATTTCATTTTTGATGTAAATAATCCATGGCAGACAATGAAATATTAAGTTAGACTTAAATTGAGTTCAGCTTGCAGAACAATGTATCTCAAAAGAATTGTCCAACACTGAGCATTTTTCCATTGTGTTTTTACTTCAGCTATTTTTGCAGTAACACACTTCTGGTTATTACTTCCCTTATGAATTCTCTTAGATAAACAATATAAACATCAGCCTCATCTCTGCTGAGCTTGAAGTGCCTGCAGTGACCATAATTAAAGTATTCAGCATGTTAGTTGGTGATACTACTTCTGCAAGCGAGCTCTTCCTTCTTTAAGGATTTTTACTATCAGCTTCCTAGCTCTACACAAATCCCCAATACACCAGGATTTAAGCACCTGGAGTGTGATCTCATCAAATGCAAATTGAATTTTACCATTGGGTGTGAAGATCATGTTTCTCATAAGTCTAAATCTAAATTTTTTAACACAGAAATTTTAATTTTCATAGGTCTGAGAGATGATTCTGCAGTCATTCTTCACATCCATTATCAGTAGCACTGTTTCATCAAATAAGGAAGGAATCACCGTAAAAAAAGGTGATGAAGGATTTATCAAGGGCTTGATACTACAGCCATGCTTGTGGAAAGTAATGTTTGGATGAGAGAAATAGAAAGTAATGTTTGTATCAGCATATGTACTTCAGTAATGTGATACTGCTTGGCAAAGCTACTAATGGCAAAATCTGGCCATTGCTAAAGCTTGGAAATAACGCCTAACAGTGAGACATAAATCCTTTAGAGGAATTTCAGGAGAGGCTAGAAGCACAGGATTATCCCAAATCCATCCACTTCTGATCCTCAAATGGGGTCCTGATCCAACAGACATCTCATAGATACTTCTGTCAGCCGTATGAAGAATACAGCAGTCTGTGCACAGCCGACTACATGGAAATTGTGAAAAACTGCACCAACAAACTGCACTGAAGAAAACTTCTGAGTCTGCTCAGGTAAAACTCCATTTGTGTGCCCTAGAGACAGGTCCATCTGGCATCTAGGTGGGCTTGGACAGTGGATTTGGTCTCAGGGTACCACTGGGGCAGCCCCCAAGGACAATTTACATGTATTATACTGAGCTAATGCTGAGAATAAGTGGAAAGCATAAATTTATCCCTGTTCTCTGGCATGCTATAGCTATTTTGTGATCCTCAGTAACAGAGGAAAATGGTATAAAAACAATAACCCCCTCAGTGGACCGATGGTAAAGCTGGGTAAATTCAATTAAAAATCAGGGACATATTTTCAATAATAATGGTGATTAAGTACTGAAACAACTACAGAGGGAAATTATGTTTTTTCTACTTCTTGACCTGTGAAGGTCAAGACTGCACACCCTTCTTGTTTATGCTTTTTGTTTACCATATTCAGTATGGTTGTTCAGTTCCGTAGTAGCAAACTGGATGAAAATTTTAGTCTGCTTAACTCATGATGTCAGACTAGATGATCTAATGTTTTTTCATAACTACAAACTCTGTGAAAAATGTGTTTTTGATGTACTGAGTACATATCTAAAATGAATTACCTCTCATAAAAAAGAAAATCTTTCTGTAGAAGAAACTCTAAAGTAAATAACTTCTGCAAAAAAAAAAAGAGTAAAATTGCTACAGTTAAAAGTACAGGTTCATAAAGACTTTTTACACAGTGAGTTTTCCTGCTTTCCAAAAATTCAGACTTGATAAATATACTAGAACATCCTTCCAAGGACATACTTGAACTCTGAAAATAAATGTTAGAATTAGCTGAGTGTTTGACTTAAAAGAACTTATATTAGTTGCTTGTAACTTTCATATTCAGAAATGCATATGTAAGGACAAGACTCAACAGAAAAGTTAAGAATCAAAGGTGGGAAGATTTTGTGAAAGCTTCCTGTAAAACAGCAGCAACAACAAATTATGTAAAACAGCTTTTCATAGATCTCTGCTTTACATAGCATAAAGGATAGGCAGATATAATGTAAAATATGTGATCACATGAAAAATTAAATTTTAAATACAGAATTATACAAGAATATATATTTCTTGATATTTCTATTTGGACCTAACCCCCCAAAAAGTAGAAAAACAACATTGCTGATCAGTCTGAATTGTTGTCTCTCCCCATAATACTGCCCAAGTATTCAAGTTCCATCAGGCTAAAATAGATTTCTGGTGGGTAACTTCTCAGAATACTTTTTTTTTTCTTCTTCTCTCCCCCTCCTCGGTAGCACAGAGACCTGCATTCCCAAGCACACTAATCACTGGGTTCAGGCTGTACTATCAATTATGCCCTGTGGAAAAACCTCTAAACATATGGGTTGAAAAGTTAGTACTGTTAGAAACCAGGCATGTGTAGCAGCAGCTGTCTTACTTGGCATAGCTTTTGTCAAGTTTTCTGGCACAAAATCCACAACCACAGACTTCTAATGGCCACTGGTATCAATCAACATGCTTGGACTAATTCTGAACATAGAAGTTTCACATTTCAAGAAGTTTCACATTTTAACAACTATTTTAAGTCAGTAAGGCTGATCTAATACACAAGAACATGCTGACTGCTAGCCCAGTGGCATGGCAGCTTGCCTACTTTGCTGCCAGCTAAGATACCAGGAAAAGAACAGTGGAAACTAAATCCACTTTAAGGACAGAGCACATTCAGTTGGCCAGAGAGAATGCCAACTACAGTATCATGTTTAATTCTTAAACACTAATGACTGATTCATGGCAACAACCCCAAAGGGAAATACTCACCTGCTATTTTAGCAGTACATGAAGCACATTTTCAGGGGAAGTTTTTTACACTATCTGCAGGAATTCTGTTTTGTAACTCTATGCTATTAATAAATCTTAGCATTTCAAACTCAAAATTTACCCCCCTTCCCAAATATCTTTTGAAATAGAGGGGGAATGGAAACCTTATTTGGGATGCAGTAAGTAATAAGATAAGGAATACAAAAAAGAAAAAAGTAGTAATATGCTTCAGTTGGTGCAATGACAGGCACAGAACAGAACTACTAGAAGTATAAAGCTGTAAAGTCCTCGACTAGAGACTCCCCTGATACTCAGTCATGTTGATGTTGCAGCTGTGCCTGGACAAATTGCATGTCCCATAATCCAAAAAGAAACTGATTTGAAAGTATTCTAAAAATCCTTTTCCCTTACTTTCTTCCTCAGTACCTTTTCAATACTCTTACTGCCTGAGCTACTGGCTGTCATTTCCACATAATCTGTTTCATAAAAGACAGAGGAAGAAAAACTATTCTCCGGTGGATTGCCAGAGACACTAACAACAATACCTTGCACTGAGCTCAACACTTGAACACGTAACACTTGGTTGCGCTATTCCTACAGAAATCTGTAGTTCTTGATGAACAATGCATAGAACAGTAGGAAAAAAGCCAACCACTCTAATTTTAGGTATGAAATAAATTGAAATAATTTTCAATTTCATTCTAAACATCTAGTATTCATAAGAATAGTGCAGAAACTGGACAAGCGATGCCTGAGTAGCCTTAACCTTAAACACCTTGAAGGCAGTGAGACCAGTAACGAAGAATTTGAAAGCAGATGTGCCCCACAGAATTACCTCATTGCTAACTGCACAAATTTCAGTCAGTGTGGCAGAGTCCTTATCTGTTTATAAAGTGACCTCAGTCAGGTTACAAAATATATGAAGGAAGTGGGTTAGAAAAAAGAATCAGTTACACGCACACATTGAGTATAGATATTAAATCTCAAATATTTTTATTAAGAAAGGATAATCTTAAATATCTGGTACAAACGCATACATGAAAATCCTGGACCTACTGCAGCTGAGACACTTTTGCATTCGACCATCATGAAGCAACAATTTCAACTATGGCATCTAAAACCCTTATATTCCAAACATCCAAAATGTGCCTTTTAAAATCGGAATTACTAGAATAAATGCTTTCAAGTAAATTCAGTTCTAATCCTGACAGTGTTTGAATTGGACATCTGGAAAGAAAATCTTTTAGCTATGTGGATATTGCAACATGGGAACATGTTACTCAGGTTGCAGGATCTCCATCCCTGGACATGTCCAAGACTTGGCTGACCAATCTAGTGGTGGCAGAAGCCCTATCTTGAGCAGAAAACTCAAGGAGGGCTAAATGACCTCCGAAGGTCCCTTACAACCAACATTTCTGTGATTCCATGAAGGCAGGTACATGACAGAAGTTGAGCTTCCAAAACATTAGGCGAAATGACAATGCATACAGACTGAGCTGTTGAAGAGAAATCACTAGACAGGAAATCTACGAACCAGCATCTCTCATCTCTATCAGATAGAAAGACCCTCTATTGAAATGGTAAACAGAACCAGCAAGCAAGCTATATAACTTCTAGCCTTGTGTCTGGGGCAAGTGCTGAACTCCAGTAAAATCAGATGTTGAGACATTTCTCTCGCTCTTGCAGAAAAAAAAAGAAGTGAATCTTCTACTGCAAGAAAAATAAGTGTGTAGCATCTTATGCAGACAATTCAAGATGAACATATAATTGGAAACATTTTTCAGCATTGCAAAGTAAAAACACTATGTTGAGGAATATTCAAATAAAAAGATACTGTTTATGTAATTTTGCTTTATTACTTTGCTTTCTGTCTTTCACTTCGCACTCTCATTTTTGTTAGACAACATAAAGCACCTCACAAAATAAAACCTGAAAACTAGGGCAGAGACATAATACTGTCTCTTTTAGCGAAAAAAGACAACCTTATTTATTGCTTTGTTAAACAGATTCTTAAAAATGGAAAATTCATTATCACTTTATAATTGCACAATTGTTCTCAGTGCAGAACATTAAGCAAAACAAACAAACTATATTTTAGAACTTAGCTAAATCTAAGGATAAAAAGCTCTAACCACACAGGATACTCAGCTCTGGGAGACTGAGAAGTAAAACCAAAATTTATTCCAAATGAATGCTGTGTTACTGACTAGGATTCCAATTCTTGAGCTATGATGCTCAGCTTCACTTTATAAGTGAGCTCTATTTTGGGAATATAGTAAATTTCAACCAAGTGACAATTAGCACTCCCAAGTCTTAGGCTAGAATAACAGTAGGTAAACTGAAGAATTTTTTTTGTAATCAAAGGCTTAATTTCTTTTTCCCTACCTTTGATTTTTTTTTCCTTTGTGAACAGGAAATGTCTTCTAGGGCTGTGTTGGTTGTATGCATGTTCTAATAAGATAAAACACAGCAGCAGCTTTTTCCAGCTGAAAATAGGTGAAAGAGCAATTTACTGATGATTTAGTGTACCAATTTTATCAAACAGATGGGTAAAAACAAAAGCAGCAACAAAGGTGAAATGTTTCCATCACACCCTGTGTAGGAGATTAATGTTCTGTGTGTGACCAGGACAGAGTTACATAGTCAGACACTGGTCTGAGTAAGACAAACCGAAAGAAAAACATATTGCACAAAGCCTTGCTATCTGAAATGGAAATTTCCTCACTACAGAGCACACTTGCTAGTGTCATGACAATTATCTGTTAAGGTTAAGGCACTGCCACTGTCTCTCAAAATGAACTCATTATTCAGGGAAACTCATTCTGGTGTGAAACACACAAGCTATCAGCTCAGAAGCATTTTATCTGTGAAGACAGCAGACTCGAAAATAAAAGGGCATTTGTTGGTGTTGAGAAAGACCCAAGACCTGAAAAGGTATGGAAGAATACTTATTAGTTAGGGAACTTCAGAAAGATTCTAGCAGATGCATAAAAAAAAGCTACACGAGGGTTTTATCATGCAACCACGTAGGTGTATATTTTTTCTTACACCAATCTTGTATTTTCACACTTGTTTCAAAGCAAATCAGCTGGAGCATAAGAAGGAAGACCTTTTTTCATATGACTCTGCAGAACAGATGATTTGAAATTCCTACTGCAATCTCCAAACTCTAGATATCCCTGCAATACTGTTGTTACTTTTGCTGCACCTTTTGAAAGCAGCAACAGGCAAGACCACATACAGTATCTTTGATCCTGGTGCAGTTTGTTGATTAATTCAGCCTCAACCCAGTATGTAGAAGTACTGAAAAAAATTCTAATGAAATTCTTTCTGCCAAAAGGGATGACTGATTTCCTGCATCAGCTCTAGTTACTCTGATCATTTTTCATGGCAGTATCACTCTGGTTTGACTGGATTTGAGACTAACCACAAAGTATTCTGTCCTCAGAAGATTTATCTTTCCATCCTAAAAGAATACTTTATTTTTTTGCAGTACCTCAACAGTTGTAACTAAATGTTAAACTGGAGAAAAAAGAACTTTCTCTAATTGTGTAAGTGAAAAAGACTGACAGAAAGCAAAAATATATCTTTTTGATTTTAAAAAACAGCTGCTATTTATCCCCTTTGACTAATACACTTCATTTAGCATTCCACAAATCAATGATTTGAAAGTATTGCTCAACTAACACTATGAAGTAAGGCTACAGTGCTGTTATCTTTAAACTGTGTTAAGAAATGAGACAACTCCCAGAAAAAGTAACTGTAGTTTAAACAAGACTGTGGGGCTGCGTGCTCGTAACTGGCTCTGTTTTCTGCGAAATGGAATGAGAAGCTTCAGTTCCCAGGTGCCCACATTCCCAAAATTCCTCTTGACCTTGCAGTAGTAAGCTCTCGTCTTGAAAGTTCAAGCTTACATCACATCAGAAGAAAGGAGAGTGAAAATGCTGAAATTCTCCTTATGTGCTCCATTTAACTGTGTGGATGAAAAGAATCCTAAGCAAAATACATTTTGACCCTAAGTGTAACTAATCACTAAGAGACTAACTAGGTTCATCTCACTAGCATTATATTCACCGCAGATTCTTACAAATAGCTGGAGCAGTGTATGAAAAGCTGAAGAAACAAGCAGATACATGATTGCTTTATTAAAGGTTATATTCTATTGTTACTCTTCTATTTCTCTGTCTCTTTGTTTTGTTAGGTTATTTTTACAGAACCTTTTGCAGAGTTAATGTTATCACAACTACTTACGTTTGATGCTGGTCAATGTACTTTTGGGCACTGAACAGTCTACAGCTGCTGAAAATAAGAAAAAAAGTGACTGATTTAATATTTACTTAGTATCTGTGGTGGCTAGAAAAAAGTAGCAATAAAAATCACAGAACAAAGACTAATTTAACTAGAAAACAGCAATTCTCTATTTTAATATATGCTAGTTATTGTGTATTTAAAGTATTAGACTGATATTAATACAGTCAAGAGAATTTTTGAGATAGAGATGTTAAAGTAAAATTTGTTTTCAATTATAGCACTTACAACGGGGTATTGTCAGTTCATAGTGGAGTAAATGCACATTTTAAATCTGAAAAATTTCTGATCAGGATCTCAACGTAATTAAACATACAAACACGTACAAGTTCAATAGGCTTTTAAGTTCCAGATTTAATGATATTTGTCTTTTGATAAATATAAGTATCTTCTAACATTAAAATATGTGAAAAAAAATCATATACATATTTAATGCTCAATAATACAGATTAGTAACATGATTTTCTTGTTTACAAACACATTGGGCAACTTTCAACGTCCTTAAAACTACCTAGTGCCATTGACTGAAATATGAACAGAAGATAATGAACATTTATAAATAAAAAATAAAGAAAAAAGACACAGTGGTTTGAGTTTAACTGAAAATTTCCTGCATTCATTCCTAAAATAAATTCTGTATGCTTGCTATTGTGACTATCTCCATGATTTTCAGTTCAGCATTCATAATTCATTATTTCATCAAAAGCAGAATGAAGAGAATACAGCACAAAGTACGCTAAGATTAAAGTAGTATCTTTGGTAGCACATACAGAAAATGTTTTCAGACAAGACTTCCCATTACAATAATACAAAAGTTTATTAAGTAGCAGCTGTATCTCCTTGCTAACATCAGTCTGAGTATGAAACAGGAAGAAAACTACGCTTCCTACAATCCAATTAATTCCCTCTTGATATAAGCCTATTCTGAAAGAATGAGCTAAATCTAGGAGTAAAAAGTTTATTCATATATGCACATTTTTACCTTTGGCTGAAAGGATTTTGTTATAATGAAACAACATGTGATCCCTGATCAGGTACTGGCTGGTTAAACTTCGGGAGGAGTCAATGCAGAAAGCTGTAAGATTAAAATTATGTAAACATTATAAAGGCAGGTACAAGAATATTAAAATTTTAAACAGTTAATAACTGCAATTCAAAGCCACAAACTTTAAATTTCTGTGTGCTTAACTTCTTTGCCCAATGGTAGTAATTTTTCTTTAGCAGCTACTGTCACATGAAATCATCCTGTTTCCTTTGTTTTGGTTTTTTTTTTCCCCACTGAGCCATCAACTCAATAAATAGCTACAGAAGTGACTGAAGTTTGACTATGAAAACGTCAGCATGGAAACTTCCTGTTTCTCCATTCTATGTTCTTTTGAAAAAAGTCTCTGAGGTGGCAGTACGGCACAGAAACATACACTAGCCCATGTAAACTACTGACTGTAAAGGCAAAACCTCAAAGGTTTAACCTCAAAGTTTCTTTAAAGCAGTAACCCTATCTATATTCCAGCTAATATCGATGTGACATCTATATATATTTGGATATCTCGCTGTTTCTAGCTAGCATGACAGTCAAGGCAAAAAAAAAAATCGTCTGATGAAAGCACATGTGTTACTTACCATTACTCTTAGTACTCAAGTGTCCTTTAAATGGACTTGCTGGACCACATCTGGGAATGCCAACAGCTTCACTCACTTTAACAAAATGTCAAATAAAACAAAACAAACGTTAGAAAAAAGAAAATGCATATTTTGACAGACAAGATAAAGCAGAGAATCTCTCCCCAAAAGAACTCACAAATGACTGTAGCAAACTCTTTTCATAGAGGAAAAAATCACATTTAAATGTTATAGTATTACTGAAGTACAACAGTGTAGTAAAGTAACTTAATCTAAACACCAAGATACGATGGTAGTGCTTTCACTGGTTCAGGGAATTAAACAGATGAAGAAACCATCAGATCACTTCAGTCTGAACTTTACATTGGCCATTAAACTGCACAGCGATATGGCCAGAGTTTTTCACCTATGCTAACCTTCCATTTCTTTTAAAGTTTTATTGATCAAATTTTATCATTACTTCATAGGACTAACATGACAAATATTTTGTACCTAGACAATGATTGTGGTTAGTATTACACTAAAATGCAAGTTTAATAGATTGAAGGAATTACACATTTGTGAAAATCATCTTATCAACAAGAACACTATTTCAAAATCTGTTGTTAATGTAAGAGGAATTTAGTTTGCCATTCTAGTGTATAGAAAGCATTTCTTTAAGGTTTCCAAGACCCTGCTTAAAGTGTAAAGCAATACAAACAAGATGTCTTTAACAGAGTAAATACACCACACTCACTTAACATCAGTTAGAAAACTGTGCAGCCAATTTCTATGAATTCATTATTACTATCAAGGTCCACATGGTCTTCCCACTCCCATCCTCCTTCTCAGCTGCCAATTCAAGACCCTGCAACTGCCACGTTTCCTAGCGATGGGAGGCACTACGGCTCTGAGGCACTAACTACTGATCCACACTTACTGGCCACCTCCAGCTTTCCACCCTTCATCGGATGAAGCAGCATGCTGGGCCTGCCCAAGAGGAGTGGGAATCTCTTCTCAGTGGCCTTCAGCTGGGTCAACAAAGGCTGATGTTATTACAAACTGTCTGGGGGGTGCAAGAAGCCATGCTGAAAGCCAGGCCATACACGTTTAAAGCCCCTTAATTCTACCTCTCATGGCTTCTTACCTCCTGCATGTCCAGCACTTGGCTTTCCAGGGTTTTTCCTTTTTTTTTTCCTATTTCCCACTATTACATAATGGCTGTTAGAGTACATTGCAATTATGTACGTAACTACTACATTCTGTAGCTCTACTTTAACTGCAACAGCATGCTGCACAAGATGGTTAACACAGTGTTTGATTACTAATTATTAGAGAATGCAGCAAAACAAATAATTTTTTTAATAATGTTTTAATATAATTTCCCCAAAGGCCTTATAAAAAGACCTCATGCATTTCAAGTGGCTAGGATTAGTTGGGGAAGCAACAAAATGTGTCTTGAGAAAATAAATAAAATGAAAATCATTAGCTTACGTGGAAATTTGCAGAGTACTTTCTTGGGACCCTGTTGTGAAATTACACTAAATCTGGATCAATAAACTCAGTCTTCACTCTTACAAAGCCCAACAAATATCAAGCCAATTTTTAATTAGTATGAGGATTTCACACTTGGAAAAGCCAGGCTTTATACAGAACAGGCTTTTGCAGCTTTACAGTATTAGAGGCAGTGTCTGCAATAACAGTGCTTCCACTACCCTTTGCAGTGAAGTTGCCAGATCAGCTGTAGGAAAGGAATAAGAAAAAAAAAAAAAAAGGAAGAAAATGCTACTGTAGATTTTTTTCCAAACCTGTCCTGCAACTGTTTTATCCTTTCG